CCGTTCCATGGGGTTAAGTTAAATTTAAAGCTACATTTACTACGCATAAACGCATCATAGCACTTCTACCTTCGTGCATTTAGAACGTAACGGTGTAATGTTTTGCACACCTGCTTGGTAGTTGGGAAGTGCTGGCACGAATACCATCTCTCCCGACTCAGGTTATTTTTCGTGGTTTCCATCAGTCAATTCATGAAAATCTCCGGAAAACACCTCAGATTAGGTCACGACCACTTCCTTCATCGTTTCCAGTTCATTATTCACTAACAATCCTGATAGTCGACACTGTATAGCCCAATCCACTCTGAGTGTCGTTAGAAACAAACCGCCTACTCTTACAAGTCAACTTGTCTGTGTAAGAGAAACGGCCTCACAGATACAAGTAAAGCAGATATTGATTAAAGCCAATAAAAAATTTTATTTTATGTTAATTTATTTTGGTTTTTGTATGTATAGCGGCTGAAAACGCGGTAGCATAGTTGGTTGAGACACTGTGCTACAAGCCGCAAGATCGCGGGTTCGATTCCCAATGAAATCATTGGATTTTTCAATTGACCTAATCTTTCCAGTCGCACTATGGCCCTGGGGCCGACTCTGTCTCTAACAGAAATAAGTACCAGGAATCTTCCTGAGGGTAAAGGGCGGCCGGCACTTAAGGCTGACTGCCTCACTGTCATCTGTGAACCGATCGTCTAGAAAATGTGGGAGCCTCGAAGTCTCACAACCCTATGGGCCTCCACGGCCTGTTACAAGGATAGATTTATTTTATTATGTTTATCGGCTAAATGAATTAAGTTAGGAACAAACGAAATTGAACCGTTAATTCTGTATTTGAGATAAATGAACGCGTGATAGTTTCTGGTCAGTGTCTTAATCGGATTCTCACTTAAAACTTTTGAGTACATTTAGAGTGCACATGCGATTAACACTTTATGACGATATCCAATATAAACTATTGTATGCACGTGTTGTTACTCCAAATGAAAGAACTCGAGTTTATGGCCACTTGACTTTCAATTCCTGCAACAAGTACGTAAAACCTGAAAAATCGTAAGTAACAAATAGTCTTATCACTTGTTTGATTTAAATATAAACCATGGGAGTGCGCATGCAAAACATGGGGTTATTTTTCTTTGCATTTCTTTCAAGGAGCACTCGGAAATATAATTGGTTTAGGCACTATGCTACAAGCCGGAAGGTTGCGGGTTCAATTCCCGAAGAGGTATTTGGATTTTTTTTTTCAATTTACCTAGGCCTTCCAGCCGCACTACGACCCTGGGTTTGACTCAGCCTCTAACAGAAATGAGTACCAGGAATTTTCCTGGGAGGTAAAAGGCGGCCGATGCCTAAGACTGACAACTTCACCGCCATTTGAGAGCCGATTGTGTAGAAGACGTGGCAGCCTCAACGTCCGAAATCCTATGGGCCTACACGGCCTGTTACAGGGATAGATTTACCTTTTTATTATTATTCTTATATTTCTTTCAAGCGTATAATATCAGAGTCCTTTGTCATTTCACGAACGTAAAGCACAGTCGTAACTTTCCAACTTTTAAAACAATACGGAATACATGAAGATAGGAGATACAAATGGATTTAATGGATTTAAAGATATTCCTTGCAAGAATTCTTGACACAAAATTCCTTCACGGCTAGCATTTAGAGCATATATTTCTATACAGAATAATTAATAAAAACACTTTACTTCAGTTGTCATGTATTATATACACTGGATATTTATTTATTTAGTTTATTAAAAATAAATGCAATCTTCTATCGCAGGGAAATTAATGANTTCTACCCTGAAGATGGAGGCGATACGTTCCTCCGAAACGTCGGTTAACACCACATACACACGGTGCCAAATCCCAGAAGACTGCTTTCTTCATAGTCACCGCCGTGAAAGCCTCAAATCTTACATAATGAAGGATTTGATTAATTAATTCCATGGAACAGAGTATTTCTTGAGAAGCTAATAGTTGCTCAGGCAGTCAAAAAATTCTTCACTTTTCATTTATTTTGGAATTCAAAAGCTCGTTGCCATGTTAGACAATTTTTTATGCCAGATGACTTGAGTTAATGTCTTCCCACCGTATTTGCTTAAGATCCGTTTTAATATTGTTCTCCTATCGTCTTCATTGCTGCATATGTGTCTTATGTAAGATTACGTAATCTAGTATAGAGCTCAGCTGTCAGTAGGGCAGATTATGTAACGTTGAATGATAAGATGATTAATGAACAACGAATTAGAAAGACATGTACATAGAAGTCATAGTGGCCTGAGTTTAAGTACTATCTCAGAATTTGTCTGGAGGGACAGAAGATAGGCATGAAAACGTCAGTCAGAACAGCCGATGTTTGAATCCAGGACCTCTCGAATACGAATTGTTAGCCCCGTCAACCTTCAGTCGTTTCTGTTCAAATTCAATCAAGGTGCGATGAAAACTGTGTTGTAACGCTCTGTACTTCGGAAGAAGTCCACCAACATTTCGGAGGAACGTATTGCCTCCATGTTCAGGGTCGAAGTATAGACCAAGCAAAGGCCGCGCCATAGCTGGCTTCCCATCGCGGCGGCCCGGGTTCGATCCCGGGTCTGGTAAAGTGGGATTTGTGGTCGACAAGGTGGCGCTGGGGTAGGTTTTCTCCGAGTACTTCGGTTTCCCCTGCCAATCTTCATTCCACCAATTTCTCCACAATCACCCTCACCTATCATCTGGGGCTGGTACAATAGGCCAGAAGTGGCCGCAGTACAAGGAACTTAGTCCCACCCCACTAGCAATAAAAATGGACCAAGCAGGAAACTGCCAATAAGCAGCTCCTGAAAGCCCGTAGTGTTCCACCCTTGGCACGCAATGTAAGCGTATGTCTGACTGGCTTTCAGTGCAAGAGGAACAAATAGTACTGACCTAAAAATCTATACTTTCTACTCGCTTCTCTTGCGAGCAACACTCTCTCCACTGCCATAATCAAAATAGAAAGTATCACCGCGATGACGTAATATATTCCTGTTTGCCTGGTAACATTTCTTTTCTTTTCTCCCCGAATCATTTCTCCGGTTGTTCACCTCGTATGCATACTAAAGCCAGAACCGGTCACCTTTGCAACACACACCATGGAGCCAGGGCAGAATTTTTAGTTATGGGGGCCCTGAGGAAATCAAAATGTGGAGGCCCCTAACAGTAACAAGAATTTTAGGTTATGACAATTTTTTTTCTTCTGGTTCTCATTTTTTACAACACATTTTTTCCCCCTTGGCACTACAGCCCCAGTGGGCCTAGGCCTACCTCCATGAACTCCGTTCACTTCGGTTTTTCTAGATCTTACACATTCGGTAGGACTCCTTGGGCGGGTGATCAGCTCGTCGCAAGGCCTCTACCTGTACACAGACACAGAAAAACGCACACACACAAACTAAACATCCATACCCTGAGTGGGATTCGAACCCACGATCCCGGTTTCCAAGCGAGCGAAGACAGTACATGCCTTAGACCGCTCGGCTACCGTGACCGGCAGTTTACAACACAATACAACGCGATAACTAAGAACGAACTAGTGATTTGAGAGGCCAAAATATCTCAATAAAGTCTGTGGATTCTATTTCTATTTTGTGGAGGCCCCGAGACGACATCTCCGCCCCGATGTCTCCTCTTCACTTCCAGTCTTGCATGGGACAGCGTCATTCATACCGGGAAGAGTCAGTAAATAGGTCACAAATGGATATAAAACGTAAAAAATGTGGTATTCAATTCTGAGAAAAAAAAATCTTTTTCGGCATATCCTCAACTAACATTGAAACACTTGTCCCATCGCTTTACCAGTGTGTCGAAACACGCAGCATGAATGTCTTTTGACCGTTGTCTCAGGGAGGTATTTGTGACGTATGCTGCTGAAAAGTCGTGGTTTTCGTACCAAGTTTCATGACGATCGGTTCAGGCATTCAAGCAATATTAAGGATATTATATCAACAGTTTGAGAGGCTTCAGTGTTTTTATTACTGATGTGAGGGACTTATGGAGTATGCCATTGAGATGACCACGTGTGTCAAGACAAGCACGCCAAGTTTTATAAAGATGGGTTCAGACGTTCAAAGTTCTTATACGGGATGCACATGCGAACATACAGACAACATATAATCTCATAAGCCTACTTTTTTTTTTCAGAATAAAGGAAGTAGGTTAGAAATTAATCTTGCGCACCCATAGGGCACAAGATCCACAACACATCCCCAGAAAACATTGATTCCCTTACTTGTGATTACCAAAGCGGGTCTGGTTACTATATTTACAAAACCCTTAACAGTGGAATTGGAAGGGATGAATTTTGTAACATCACTCACATAGCTTCCCCCAAAGTTGTCTCCACCTTGTCGTGGTGGGGCTTGCGTGACTCTGTGACCTGGAGAGCTATGCCGGCGGTAGTTTGACTACCGGTAGGGTCATCCATGCCGGAAAGGTCAAAGGGTAGAGTCCAGACTAAGATACCCTGGTCCTCCAGGTTGGGGTTGGGCATGAGGCTAACAACCTCATCCTGTAAAAAAGAATTTTGTTCAGAAACCTAACAACCAGCCTCGGGTCATCGTCCGTGGGTCCATTCCTATGGCAGCACGCACTGGTTGTGGAGACTGGTTGTAGAGGAGACCAAGGCTCACCAGGGCTGTAGCGCCGAGTGGTAGTGGTAGGTAGGTAGGTACTCAGATAACTTTTCTGCTTAATGAGTTCCTGATTGCAGCTACCGTGTTCCTTTGATCTCAGAGTCCATTAAACTAATGGTATTTCAATTTCTGGCTTGAATTCCTCACGCTGTTTGCGATGCCAGAAACTGAATAAATATTCCATCAGTATTTTCACCGTCGCTAGCCTGTGGATCAAACGTCCATCTTAGGATTGCTCTGCGTATCATTCAGTGCATATGATCAACTCATTCAAGCTTCGATCATAACTCTTCCCCTTCCCCGTTTCAGAAATTTCTCCCACTACTGGAAGTTGTTATGCAGTTTAGTGATCAGTTAAGTACGAAAAGGTCTTCTAGTGTTACGCCGCCTGAAGTGCTTACCAGAAGTCGCTGTGCACGGCGCTGTGTACTTTCTACGCGAGCCAACAAGAAATTAGTTCATAATTGCCATGTGTTATTGACATGCGAAGAGGGAAACTCTCTTGTGGTCTAGACTGTGAGACACTAGGAGGCTGTGAAAGGTAAGCACAGTATCTGCTGGGCACAGTAATAAAATCTGTTAAGATTGGAGATCTATGACATGTCTCGAAATAAACAAAGAAATGTGCGTTTGAAGACTGTTGATTGAAGTGAAAACATTGATATTGGTGGTAGTTTAATTTAGTGTTAATTATTGGATATTAAGGTACCCTTGCATACTGCAGTTTTAGAACCTCTTTTTGTTGATACTAAGGGTTCAGACGATGGTATATAACACTCAGAATTACTGGGTTTTTGGACTTCATCCACCGTTCGTTAGTCTAAAAGCTACAGAACACAACTTTTCGAAAAATGGATTTGTTTCCTTCTTCAGATAAGGGAAGAGACACCTACAGCCTGGTATCAGGTATTTATATACCTGTAGTTATAGTTACATGCCGATCACAGCGGCCCGCTCGAACACTGGGATCGTGGGTTCGAATCCCACTCGAGGAATGGTTGTCTGTGTGCGTTTTTTCTATTCTTGTCTTGTTCTGTGTTTAGGTAGCGACCTTGCGACGGGCTGATGCCCCGTCTACGGAGTTCTACCGACGGTGTATATAGATTAAGAAACTGAAAATGCGGCCAAGGTCCTCAAGGGCTGTAGAGCCATAGACGGATATACTGACGTGAGTTATCCAGTGATTGAGGTTAGCTCTTTCTAAGGGACCCAACAGAGCAACAGAGTAGTTGTCTTCCCCATTAAGGGAGGAACATAGACTGAGGGTGTTTGAGAACAGGGTGTTGAGGAGAATATTTGAACCGAATAGGGATGAAGTGACAGGAGGTTGGAAAAAACTGCATAATGAGGAGCTTCATAACTTGTACTTTTCTCCAAGCATAATTAGAATGATCAAATCAAGAAGGGTGAGGGGGGTAAGTCATGTAGCACGAATGGGGGAGACGAACGCGTATAGGATATTGGTGGGAAAGCCAGAAGGAAAGAGACCACAGGGAAGACCAAGGCGTAGGTGGGTGGACAATATTAGAATGGATCTTAGAGAGATAGAATTGGATGGTATGGATTGGATAGATCTGGCTCAGGATAGGGACCAGTGGAGGGCTCTTGTGAACACGGTAATGAACCTTGGGGTTACATAAAATGCTGGGAAATTCTTGAGTAGCTGCAGAATTGGCGGCTCCTCCAGAAGGGCTCAGCTCCATGAGTAAGTAAGTAAGTAATGTTCTAACAAAGCATTGTCATACGCTATGTTTATAGGAAGTGGGGATTTCAAAATTAAAACGACCATCTGGACACGCGTCCCATGATGATTAATACGAATTATCACCACACGCTCTGATGAATTTTCTGAGATGGAGTTAGTCATGCATTATTTCATAAGCTGTCTTGAACTATGTCTTTCCTTTTAAACAAATGCCTTACTCATCAAAACTGCTTTCGTAATAATAGCAAAGCTTCGCGTGTGTACACGTATTATCATGTCAGCTGTTATTTTGTATTTCTGCCTTTGTTATTCGAATACTGTCATGAGATGTGTGGGACCCATTACTGGACACATGCTGGAATATCCTATACACAAAGAAACAGAGAGCAATTTGGTGTAGCCAACACAGTACGAAGTACGGGAATATAAAAGTGGACCGAGAAAGCGCGTGCAATGGGCTATATGATGTCGGGGAAGAGGGAATGGTTGGAGAACTGAAAGAAAGTGGTCGGGACAACAATAAGGCTGGGGAACGGCCTGAACCTTGAGAGTACAGAAAATAAGAAGACATATTCAAATATTACCAACATTGCATCGTAAAAACAAATATCGTTGTTTTTATGTCACGGAAAGATAAACCCATAACAGGTTTTTATTTCTTATCATAAAAGATAAACCGTGTTACTAAACAAGCTATAGCAGTTGGAGAGACTGGCGCATTTCAATGTCCCGAAATGTCAGGTTGGAATTTTTCATTGGGTATAGCATGAAAACAATATATTTGCGAAGTCGCCATGTTCCCCCACTCCGTTTTATTAAAATTTTGCCCCAATTGTGTATTTTGTATTTTTCCCTCTGGACTAGCGTATCGATATAGCGACTAGCTACGGGCTGAACAACCAATAGGTCTGAGTTCGAGTCCCGGTAGGGTCAAGAATTTTCTCTTCACCAAATCGTCCCAACCTTCTATCAAATGGGTACCGGGGGCTGTTTCCCCGGGGTTAAAGTGGCCGGACGTGAAGCTGACCACTCAACTACAACTAATGCCGAAGTCAAGAAAATGTGAATCTACATATGCGTCCACTCCCCCATACGCCTTCATAGCGTAGTGCGTAATTAGTTAAGCACAGAGACAACTTTACCTTTACTGAAAGAGTGGCACAATTTAAAGCAGTAAGACTGGCGTTTTGAAGACAAATTAGTGGTAGATGCTTAATCGGAGCCTTGATAAAGTTGAGATGTAGGACCAAAGTCTTATATGTAAAATAAAGATGGATTTAAGTCTTTACACAAAACGATAATTAAGATAATACATAGCCTCTATGTTGGCTGTTTTGTCACGAGCCGACTGATAATTTCTGAGCGATAGGTTCCAACTCATACTCAGTCACATTCTGAAGCATTATGCTAGCGATAAGTTTCAATGAACGTGGGTGAATTGGAATTCTGCAGAAATAACAAATAGTGATCACTTTATTTCGCTCGGTCGGTATAGTTCGCTTGCGGACTACAGGCCACGGAGTTGTTTTTTGTTCCATCACTTTAATTTGGCATCTTCATGACTTGGTGCTTAAATAATTAAGTAAGGTAAGGGTAAAGCTGCCGGACACGGTAGCCCAGCGGTCTAAGGCGTGTACTGTCTTCGCTCTTTTTTAAACCGGGATCGTGGGTTCGAATCCCACTCAGGTCATGGATGTTTAGTTTCTGTGTGCCCGTTTTTCTGTGTTTGTGTACAGGTAGAGGCCTTGCGATGAGCTGATCACCCGCCCAAGGAGTCCTACCGAATGTGTAAGATCTAGAAAAACCGAAGTGAACGGAGAAGTTCATGGAGGTAGGCCTAGGCCCACAGGGGCTGTAGTCCAAAAGAAAAAGAAAAAAAGGTAAAGCTATCCCTGTAACAGGCCGTGGAGGCCCATGGGGTTGTGAGACGTCGAGGCTTCCACATTTTCTAGACAATCAGCTCACAGATGGCGGTGAGGTTGTCAGCCTTACGCGCCGGCCACCCTTTACTCCCCAAGAAGATTCGTGGTACTCATTTCTGATAGAGGCTGAGCCGACCCGAGGGCCATAGTGCGGCTGGAAGGATTAGGTAAATTGGGAAAAAAAAATCCACTTCTTCGGGACTCGAACCCGCGACCGTCTGGCTTGTAACATAGTATCTCAACCAACTACGCTACCGCTTGCCCCAATTAATTAATTAAGCACAGGAACAAATTTACCTTTACCTTGTACTCGTTAGAGTTTAAATGATTTAATGTAAATAATTAGTGAATTTTAATATCGTTTTAAATATTAACAGATCGATAAACAAAAGCCTTCATCTCTTCAACATGCCTGAACTATCTTCTTTCGGGTCGTTTCACAAAATCTTTTCCCTTTACATTTTAATTCTAACGCCCTTCTCTGTATCCTTACTCTATATATTCTTTCTACATGGCCAGGCTATTATAATCGTTTTTCCCTTAACTCTTGTTAACAAAATTTGATCCCGAATCTTATGAACAAAACCCGTGAGAGAAAAACAAGATGCCCTTGAATTTGCAGTCTTCTCGTTGTCTTGCTGCCCCCCTCGCCTGCTGTCTTCGGTGCCCTGTTCTTAACACGTCCAATCTAAGAATCTTTCGTCTTTCTGTCTCATCCCGCCCGTCTAAAACCGCAAGGATTCAAACTGAGAACAAGTTTGTACGCTAATTTTGCCTTGCGCTTTCTGTTTTCCATAGCCTTCAGGCACAACCTGGGGCTCACCCACCCTTCTGTCCATTAGGTACCGGAGGTCCTTTCCAGGCGGTTAAAGAGAGAGGATCGTGTAGTCGTATTAAATTACAACGAAGCTAGGAATTTGTGGTTATTATCTCTATTTTTCTTTACCTGTGGCTCTACGGGTGTGAAACTTGGCCACTGACATTAAGGGAGGAACATAGACTGAGAGTGTTTGAGAACAGGGTGCTGAGGAGAATTTTTGGACCGAAGAGAGATGAAGTGACAGGAGGTTGAAGAAAACTGCATAATGAGGAGCTTCATAACTTGCACTCTTCTCCAAGTATAATTAGAATGATCAAGTCAAGGAGGATGAGATGGGCAGGGCATGTAGTATGAACTGGAGAGAAGAGGAATGCATATAGGATATTGGTGGGAAAGCCAGAAGGAAAGAGACCAATAGGAAGACCAAGGCGTAGGTGGGTGGACAATATTAGAATGGCTCTTAGAGAGACAGGATGGCATGGTGTGGATTCGATTGATCAGGCTCAGGATAAGGACCAGTGGAGGGGTCTTGCGAACGCGGTAATGAACCTTCGGATTCCATAAAATGCTGAGAAGTTCTTGGGTGGCTGCACAACTGGCGGCTTCTCAAGAAGGGCTCAGCTCCATGAGTGAGTGAGGGATGGTTGGTTAATTTAAAGGATTTCTGATATTCGCGGAATTGGGATAGCTTAGGTGACGTAACAAGTGCGTGACTCATTGAATTATGGCGTGTTGCACTCACGTGTTGCATTCAACAACACAATCTGTATACGTGTTCTTTGGATTGTCACCTCAAGCAGCCGAAGTACGCGTTTATGTCCAGGCAGCTTATCCCGGCAGCAATACAATGTTAATAGAAACCACATGCAGGGGAGTGCGTTCCTTTCTGACTGCGTCAGCGTTTCACAAGACGCGACTCATTAGTACTTCTTTGTTTAACATGCTTAAGTCTGTAAGTTCACATACACGTATTTCAAGTCGAAAAATTCTAGATTGATTTTGATGAAATTTGATATGAAATGTATGTTATCTCGGACGAACACAAACTCGTACTTACTAAATTTCATGCAGTCGGTAGTAATATGATGGTGGTA